TATAAATTTCCAAGGCACAGGCCAGCGGATGAAGCTGAGAGAGGCAAATGAGCTACTCATGCACAGTAGTGAATGAACTCTCACATACTCATTTGTGGGTTTAGCAATGTGGAAATTAAAGTCCACAATAAAGGCTTCCATTTCTTTTAATGAATTACTGACTTAAATTCAAGGGGATTGTCTGAATTCATAGTAGTTCTGTCTACAGTGACAATTTAATCCACTCTTGAACTCAGACAAGCACTGTAATATGGCTTACATCCTCCTGTGCAAAAGGAGGCATAGTGCTCAAACCCTGAGTCTTCAGGAATATCAGAGCCTAGATGACAAATGTCCCAGGCCGCAAACAGAGAGAAGTAACACCCAGGACTGCTGCCTGGGGAAAAAGTATCCCCTGATCATGCTGAACCCATAAAAAGGTACAGCAGAAAGGCTGTATTTACAGAGAAATTACTGCCACAATTCCTACCTTATTCTGGCCAACATTTTAAAGTGACAAACTGCTTTGCTGGTAGAGATTTTCCAGAAGGCTGATTATTGGTTTCATTTTGCTTCTCCTTCTGGAATGGAAGGTCTGTCTTGGGAAGGGGGAGGAAAAGGACAGGCAGAAACAGCCAGAGCTGGGAAGTCTCTCTATGTTACCAGTCCAAAGGATGAACTGACATCACCTCGCAGGGACTTATATTTGCTTGGAGGGTTGGAATGTGCTTATATAAGCTTTAGAGCTCACGAGAAATACATCCATACATCAGCAGAATTACCTAATTCCCTTCCTAGTCATACAGAACTCGGTACTGCATCATTCAGCTTCTCATGTGCAGTGAGTGAAAATGGTTGCCAAACCCACAAATTCATAGTTACTGATTGTAAATTCTGCAGAAATTTGTCTAAAGGCTTGGCATTTTAATTTATACCTATTGGCATGTCTCTATTTCAGTTTATTGAAAACACAGAAGGGTAAAATAGGTTGTTAACGCTAGAACACCATTCTTTAGATGTGGCACATGCAGGATGTGAATGCTAAGGAATAATATTTCTATGAATTATCAACTGAGCAAGTGCCACAGTGAACCTGCAATACACACTAAAACTTTTAATGCTTCCATCAGAGTTTCTAGGTGATGATTACCAGCTTCCAAAGTGCACCTGGAAATATGAGTGGCTGAAGTTTCCAAAAGCATCTGCCTGAACAACTTTTACCATGCTATCCAATTTTCACTTTTATGCCAATGTAATGAGATTTAAAAAATCTATACCTAAATCTACTGTCATGTCAGAATCAGAGATGTATATGAAGGCCTTATGGACACTGCAGCATTTCTTAACAGATTTTTTATGTTTTAGTCGTGAAAACGCAGAATGAGCCGAACACTTCCACCTGCTGTCCAGCAGATGGTGGTATAAGCCAAACTACTAGAATATTTGGTAAAAAGATGGCAACAGTGATTAAATGACAGCTTTTCTTTTTAATAAGAGTTTAGATTTTTTTACCTGGTACTGGGATTCTTTCTACCTTGTTCTGCTGGTTCCAACTGCTGTCTTTGTTTACTTTGTTTATTTTTCTTTTTTAAGTTGAAGAGAAAGGTGAATTTTACTGTCTTCAGTCAAAACTGGATTTTCATATCCTTCGATAGCATATTCTGTGTCGCAATTTTACTGAATCAAAGGCCTTTTTTTTTTAACCACTCTTGATCCTTCCTCTTGTTACTTACAAAAATGAATGCAGAAATACTAACAGAAAAGGAGCAATGCCACTGTTAGCTTGATTCACCCAGTTATGCATTAGCAGGACACTCAGACTATAGCAGCATTGCCATTGCCTTAGCCTACGCCAAAAAACTCAATAACAGAAGGACTTTTCTATGGGTATTTGCTCCATAGTGTTATATGCTGCAGTTCATAAATCACTCCTGATCCAACACTAGGAAATGGTGAAAGAAACAAAAGTAATTTATAGTTCTTCATTTCAGACTATTAGCAATTGGGAAGCAACTGATAGATTGGGTGAGACTGGAGCAACAGCAATCCTCAGTCAACACCCAGCCCAGCCAGCTCCTTATTAGGTAAAGGGCACAAATAATCCCTTAAGTTTTTCCCAGTATTAAAGTAAATTGGCTCTTGAATTAAATAACTGCTGCCTAGGTGGATCAAGGTGAGATGTAAGTAGAGATAAAATGAGCTTTCAGAACCTACCAACATTACTCAGAGTATCTATCAGAAAGCAACAGAATGGTCTAATAACTAGAGGGCACCTTTGCACTCTCCTATTACTTGGTGGCAGAATAGGAACAGTAACAAAACCCATCCATTTTCTCAAAATGAAGATTGTACTAAAGCTTAACCATACAGCGTATTGCAGCAAAAAGGTAATATGAACAAGCACTAAAAACCTTGGCCCTTTCATCAGGGCAAGACACTGTGCAACTACAGAAGTGCCCACTCCAACAATATTTAGTTCAAGATTTCTTAACACCAAAGATCTATAAAGTTTCAATCAGCTCCACTTCCTCTTTCCACGGAATTACCTACAAAACTTGGTTACAACAATGGAAGTTTCAGAATCAGACTTACAGTACACATTCACTTCCATGAGAAAGGCAATGACTGCAGAATGATTCAAATTCTGATTCAAAGTTTTTACTTGATTATGTCTATATATGACACATGTACACAAATAAGCATCCCTAAAGGTGAGGCTGTTCCACATAATACTCTCACAGGAGCATTTATAATAATTTTCAGGATGTAAAATTTGAACACAAACCATCACTGGGATTGTTCTCAGATGCTTCATGCTAGGAAGTTGATGCACACACGTTTCAAGGTTGCCCTTGGGATGCAGTCCCATTTTCACTGTCTCTAAACAGATACTTGCACAATTAGAAAATATGAGTTTGAATGTTGTGGTCTTCATTAAGAAGTTCAGTTTCACAGTCGCTGTCATCTGGATAGAATAGGCAGCAAACCATATAAAAGGTATAGGCAAGTTATCGGGAAATGAGCTAGATAAAGTATCAAAATCCACAGATTGGTCTCAATGGTACTATCCAGAACACCAATCTTACTGAAATAACGCCAAACCACAGATACCACCAAGGTAATCCAACAGACAACTGACAGCTAACCAGAAGTATGACTATCAGTTTTTATCTGGAAAACTAACAATGGGAACATTTTTCCCAAATTGTCTCTATCTTCAGGGTTGAGCTCTAGGCATTACTACTATACAAACACACAATAAAAACATGACAGGAAAGGTATCTCCATTTGGAAGAGACCAAATATTTAGTTAGTTAGTTTTTCCAAACACCCTCTTTTACCAGCATATAGATGCAAATGAATTCAGGTCTGCATTTCTGTTCCCATTAACAGCCTTGAAAGAAATAATTATGATGTTAATGCTCATAAAGAAGAATTATGGTGGAATTTTTTCCACAGCTTTAAGGGAAATTTGTATGATGAATTTTAACAACTATCATACAAATAAAAAAAAAACAACCAAACAGACCAAAACAACAAAAACCCTACAACCCCACCACCACAACGAAATCCCAACAAACCATGCAATGAGAGACACTGTAAAAAATGTAGTGAGGGAGGAAGAAAGATCATCACCAACGAAAACATTGAACCCATTAAAAATGCTCAGCTAACAATGAATAAAGAGTGGAATAACAAAGTGGAAAGGTTTTAAAGTATTTTCAAGGTGGGAAATATTTACAGCCCCTAGTTCATATGTTCAATTATATAAGACAAAATAGGTATGTTAGACTTTCTACAGCGTGGATCTTCCTCTGAAGTCCATGACTGAAAATGATCCATTGAGTATTTAAAGTTAATAAAACCCCACAACTTTCTGATGAAATACTTGAGTGTTGACAGGGAACTAGACAAGGTTATTATCAGTAATCACCTTCTTCCGTCCCTGAAGGTTGACTCCATACTTTTTTGACTCTAACAAAAATCACAGATATTCACTCTGTATAACTATTAGGAATGAGGTATCCTCAAAGCAAGTTACTGAATAATAAAATAATTAAATGATTTAACCTATTTGAAATTATTTTAAAAATAAAGACGGAATAGGTTAGTCTAAGCTATTCTTAACAATAAGTTCAACGTTGCAAGTTTTGTGCCCAAATTAGGTTTGCAAAGACAGATTTTCCTTCCAGGCGCTTCCTCAGCATTTATTTGGATATTCAGACTGTTAATGCATTTCAACATTAACACATTTCTATACAGTTTCGACAATGGCAACATTTTGTTACTTAATAAAAAGAAACACTGCAAGCGCCATAGGCAGAAGCCGTCTTGCTAAGATCCAGAAAGAAACCTGTCTTTATCTGGCTTCATGCATCTTCCATGTCAGAAGTGAAAAGGTACCATCCCACTATCATGTGCCACAGGGACAGCCATTCGGGTGGGAATGTTGGCAGGGGAAAGGTGGGGAGGTAGCAGGGTGCTGCAAAGAGCAGCATTTGACATGTAGAGCTGCACGAACTACAGCCCACCTTGGGTGGTGGTGGACACACAGAAGCCCAAAAACACAAGTGAAAGCTAGTGAAGCAGCAAGAACCCCAAATCTGCCTTTGTTTCTCTGATAAAGCTATGCTAGAGAGGCTAACTGAAACTGGCACATTACTACTGAACACATGTATTTATTCAAAATGCAAGTCCTTGTAACAAATAAAGTAATGGAATAATTTACCGAGTAGCAACAGCTGCTGCACAACAGAATACTAAAAAAGTATTTTTACTTGAGATCATAGAATCATGGAATAGTTAGGAAGCGTGTGTCTGTGATAAATGTATGCACACACACACACACACACACGTCTATACTTCATTTTGCTGCTTTGCCACTGGAAAAAATAGCTGGGTTTTGTTCTGTTTGGGGATTTTCTTTTGGGCTCCCCCCTCCCCCCGTTTTTTTTCATCTAGGGTAGCTCTGCATCACAGAAACATGTCTCCCAAAATGAGACAGTGGGAATATCTGTTACCTTTAAAACCTTCCCAGGAAGTCTCAAACCACTGAAGTTATCAAAAAGATTTCAAATATGTAATGCTATTTGTCAGTCTCTTCTTCAGTTTTAAAGCTCTCTAGTACTCAGTTTAACTTCTTCTTGACCTGAAATCAAAAGTTTGTGCCTAGTTGTATTTTGAGCAAGTAAGCCACATTATTTTACTGTTAAAACAACCGGATTCCTATCTTCAGTAAATGACCAATCTAATATTTCTCTCAGTTGAAAAAAATATAATCTTTGTCTTTTCTAACACTGCAGCTGTTAAACTCTGCCATTCCCATTTTATTTTACAGGGAGTGTCTTTCCCTCCACCCCCACTGGAGGATGCTCTTTGCCCAGGTCAAGCTGCATGCTCTGCTGCATCTCTATGAGTGCCAATAGAGTGCATCGCCTGTCAACTTTACTTAAATGCTGCTAGTTTATTAGCCCTTAATGTTTTTATGTAAGGGCTACAGTGAAGTAAAAGGTGGCTACAGTTCTTTGTAATATTCCAGCAATCCGCCTGAGTAACTGCTGCAATTTTCTTTCTCTCTTCTTTTCTTTTGTTAGTTATACAATAATCACAGCAATCACTTTTCACCATTAATTCAAGTGGTACAATACAGTTTCTGGACAGAGAATGCACAATTCATTTTAAATGGCAATATTTCCATTTGACTACTTTAGAGTGAAAAAAACACTTCTGATCTTTAGAAGCTACCTACTGGAAAGGATTACAAAAATTGCTAACATAGAGGAATACAGAAAACAGCGGTGATAACCCTTTGAAATGAGGTAGAATGAAGATAGTGCCCCTCAGACATGCAGTGAACTGTTTTTAATACACAACAGAATTTTATACTGCATATATATAATATGTAAAATAATACAGTGAATATATAGTGTTGTGTTAAATGCAACATTTAAATTTGAAACCACTGAAAAAGAACTCCTCCAAAAGGCAAGTAGGAGAACTGGGCATTCTAAATGGATTAGATAGTTAGTCATACCTTTTCTTAACCAGAATAAAATTGATTATTAAAATGTTATTTGAGTTTTCACTTGTGTTTACCTTTCAATCTTGAATATGCTTTATGTTCATTAATTTTATTTTTTTTGGGGGGGGGGGGGTAGGGCATTCTACTGAATCCTCAACACCAAAGACTGCAAAGAAAGCAAGAATTATCTTCAATAAAGATAAAGATAATTCTTAAGAAGACCCAGGAGGTAACTCTTGTATCACCTCAGAAAGGAGGAGGCACCAGCCTCCTGTGTGGATTTTTGACTCATCAGAACAGACCATGAGGGTAGAAAGACGACTAATCCTTGGAACTAAGCAGATAACTCTTGGGACAGAAGTGGGATCATTGCCATGTGAGAATCAAGCCACTACATTTTAGCTAAAATAATTCACTGTGCAATCTGGTTAGGCTAAATGCCTCCATGATGCAAGTCAGAGATGGCCTTTGACTACATCTGCAGCCTGGATCATTACCAAAACTCCATCTGTTTCTGCTTGTACTACAATAGTCTTGATCAGAATGAAAATGTAATTCAGGATGGTATAAAAGGTTCAAAATAATTAAAACCTGCTTACTGGATAGTTTATGCTTGTTTGTTTTGTTTTTAAAAGAAGATACATAGTTTCTGAGACAAAGTAGCATGCTTTTAACAAGCTTAAACATAATCAGCAGGAGTTTAGGTACTGGCCTTGGACTTTGGAACCATTGCCCAGAGTACCAGCTGTAGAGTACTAATCAGAACTAGCAGCCACAATAAAAATGCAAGTCCAGAGTCAGTGCCATGATGCACTTGGTCACATGGGATTCCATGATAAAACATGAGCAGGAAAATGAGATCAAAACACAGCATTTAGGCCAAGCAGCAAGTGAGTCATCCCTATTTGGTACAAGCCAGTCTGCTTCACTGATCCTTGTGTTTACTGTGCCAGCAAGTTAGAACATGTCTGCAGTAATGCAACCTGCAGCTGCAGGGTGGAAACAGGCATCTCATGCAATGCGGTCAAATTTTACAATCTCACTAGCCAGCCTTTTACCTGTAGGAATGTCATACATTCCAGTGGTGCCAGTATATTTCATGACATCATCACAGCATGTTAGAGACTTATGAAAATTAAGGTAGATATAGGCTGGGTATGAATTGTTATCAGTGGCTGTCTAACTCCAAATCTCATCTAGCTCCTATATTGCAGACAATCTATGGATACAGAAAAGAAATAGAGCAATGATTAGACCACATTGATTCAGCAGCCACTGTACTTGAGCCCAGCAGAAGACTGGAAGGGGCCAGGGGATAGAGCTGTTTTGGATTTCCAGTATTTTTCCATTTTTATAATGAAGTATATTATTCTAAATTCAGCCTTGTTGTTATTTTCTCTCATGTGACCTAATTGCGTATAAATAGAGAAGGAATTTAAATGATGATGAATATTGACTTATTTACCCTTTAGTTTGACCAGGAAGGTATGTGAAAACTAAATTAAAATACTTCATTTCAAAGTAACATGCTTTAGTGCTAATTTCTTGTATCCAAAAAATACAGAAGGTATCATGGAGGTCTACATGAGCTGGACATAAAGTTGCAGTTTTCAGAGAATATATGTAAATTTCTATATATCACATGAAAAGCTCCAGAATGAATTATTTGAAGTTTTATATTATTCACACAACATTAAACATGGAAAACTCTACAACCTAATCAAGAAAATACACAAAAACAGTTTTTTAATTCTTAGAAATAAAATTAAGAGAAACTAATCACTATTTCTGATCTGCATTATAATTTCCTTTTCTTACTTAAACCTCTTTCTACAGCTAAGCAGTCATAAGTATTTCTGGTATTTAGTTATTTTTCATTAGCATACTTGAAGAGCTGAGATTTGTTTTAACATTAGCACAATTTTACAGTTCTATCTTGCAGTACTTCTCATGCTACCAAAGTAGACAGATTTAAGATGGAAGCTCTTTTAGCTGCTGTCAGTCATTGGCACCAGTTAATTCATTTTTATAGTACCTTTCTCATTAGAAGCTTTTTCCAACTCCCATTCGAGTCACAGAATCTAGCTAATAGTGCTCATCAAAAGGTACTATGCTGTACACTGTATTACAGGTATTTTACAAAATAACTCTAACCATATGTAAATCTAAGTTCTAGTTGATTATAAGCCCTTCACAAGGATGAATTGTTGTAAACCAATCTTCTGCAAATGGAAATGATTGCAAAGCCAATTTTATGCATACTACATATTCTACCACTAACTCTTAGAGTCTAAAAGAAAAGAACTCCTTCTTTCCCATTAAAATTATTCAATTATTGAAAACATACGGCATTCTTTCCCAGTTAATTTACGCAGAGCAACTAATGAAAGTACTTCAGTGTAACTGGGCTTCAGTTGGAACTAATATCAGAACAGTAATGTCGTCGCAGCATGGGTCTAATTAATCAGTTTTTAAACTAATTCTGAGGGCTTTTTAGTAAATGCCTGATTTAATAGTTTTAACTATTAACTATTTAATAGTTTTAACTAGTCAATATATGACTCGGATAAAAAGAGCAATTGTTTTCGAACATTATAACAAAGGCTCCCTCCAGAAATGTATCCACCCAATCATTTTGAGATGCTTTTCAAAAGCAGCTCACTGTTTTTCTAAAGGACTTAACTACAGGTCAGCTGCAGCAAAGCCTGCAACAGGATTTAAACAGAGGGTGGCCAAATCTTGAGGTCTACATGGTACTCTCAGGCATAAATGGTTCCTGAGGTTTCTCTCAGCCCTATGTTTCCATAGTTATACAACCCATATGTTTCCATTTTCATTTTCAGAGAAACACCTATCATAAACTGAATTTAATACAGCAGGTCCACAATAGTTAGATGCTAAATAAGGTCACTTGTTAATTACACTGAAAGCGTGACTTGTTAGGACATGACTGTTTTAAAAATATATTAAAATATAATTACATAAGGAAATGACATTTCACTTTATGAATCTGTTTTTATGGAAGTGAGACTGCTATGAAGTAATGGATGTTGCAGTTCTTTGGAAGCACCCTTATGGGGATTACTGCTTGCCCTTACTCTGTGAAGAACCTGATTGTGCTTTAGCTTTATGCAGTAACTTCATGTTTTCAGTTGAAATCCCCTGGTGATATCCTAACTCACTCTCACTGGGAGATAGCAACCGTATTTAACAGAGGAAACTTTGTGTTTCCTGGTCAGTATACATCTTGCTCTCATGTACAGATTTACACATGGTTCAAGTCGCAATCAGTGGAATGAAGCTTTATTTCAATGTAGTAACTTTTCTGATGTACACATTTACCATGCACACAAACTCCTTAGTTCACTACATCTTTTTTCCGGTAACAAAACTCTACGTTTTCTGAAAGTCTAGCAATAGCTACAAAATGTAATGTTTACAATAGCCTCTGAATGTATCACCCCTTTCCCTCAAGAAAATAAACTGATACCTGATGTCTATTTAGATTTTTCCTTGAGATGGAGTGCTCTCTAATTTTTTTAATGTGTATTTTATTAGCAAGTGATAAACAGAAATCGGCTTATTCCAGACAATTTCTGCTAGAATGCTGTGTAGCAGCAATCCTAGCTACCTTAAATACCAGGAAATTGTTATTACAGTTTTCATAATCTGGAACAGTCAGAGTCTTAAATGCCTCCGCACATTACTGTTCCTGTTCAATTCATCATGCCTCTGCACCACTTGCTTCCTCCATGTTCTTGTAAATGAGTGCTTCCCCATTTTCTTCTATCATCTCCAATTACCTTTCAAGTATGTATAAAGGACAGGATTTTCCTGACATCTCTTTTAGCATTCTGAGGCCAAAACCCAGATAAAAATTCTTTAAAATAGCTTAAACCCTGTTTTGCACAATTGTATAATAACTGCTATAGTACCAGGACTGTTGGCATCATTACAACAGTAGATCTTTGGTATCTACCTACAGGGGGGCAGAACTAGGTACTCAGTAAGTAGACAACCTGATTGTTTGCATTTACCTCTAATCAATTCAGATCAACTCATCACGGTGAAAAAATGAGTTTAAACTTTATAGGCAGAACTTGAATATGAGATGCAGTTGGCATGTG